TTTTTTTTTTAACAAACAACCCAAGTGAATGCTAGAGGTGCTGATAAGAGCAGACACCACTAGCATGCTCGGGGAGGCTCCATCTATTGGTGGGGAGCGGCACCTGCTGGAGATCGGGTCCAGCGTCCCTCATCATTTATACCCAAGTGTTCTGAAAGCCACCCGAAGTCATGTAAGCATGCCACGTGTCCCTCCCACAGAATACATACGAGATCAACCAAAACAACACGCTTGCACACGCTATTATGTGATGAGCAGCATTGATTGCCCTCAACAAAAGGGATTAACTGCTCATCGTGGTTGAGACAAAATCCATATTCTGAAACCGTCAACATTCACTAACAAAACCTTCGCAGCACCATGAAAGGGAGGGGCAATCAGAATATAGAATTAGATCGACTATTATAGCCAATTTCGAAATCATCACCGAGTTATCCGAAAATCGCCGTGTCCCCCCACTATCCTCATAATAAATGACTGAGCCCAAACTTGAAGCTCTTACTGCGTCACAATATGGAGGGACACTAAAATCAAAGTTAGATTTCCCACAAATGCCGCCCCCCACAATCTTCGCAATCCATGACTCTACACAAGGCGGGGGGCATTGAAACAATCAGGGTGTTGTCCTCACTATCTCACCCCTTCTCGCCACCATCCCACCCCCTATGACGCCCAAACCTCACGCCCAGCACGGCTTCCTGATCGGAGTAGAGTGTGGGTCTGGAAGTGCGAAAAGGGGTGTGCCAAGGATTTTTGGGAAAGTGGGGGTGGAGTCCCAGGTCAGAACTGAGATCTCCTGTGGCGGAGTTTTTCGGGGGACGAGTGCAATTGGGCGGAGAGGGCGGACCTCCTCTGATCATAAGGCAGATGGCATGCGCGGGTCATTCAAGGTCGGGCAAGTAATTGGTTCCGAGGACGGCGGTTTGCGGGAAGGTCCCACCGGGGCGGGTGGGGTTCCGATGAGTCGGGCCGTCTGAAGTTGCCACGTGGTGCCGGTCGTCGCGCGTTCGGGTTAGGCCTTCGCTATTACGGGGCCCTCTGGTCGCCGCGTCGTCGGCAATTTCCGCTGGGCGTGCTGGGCCAGTATGGGGCTATGGCCTTCCACGGGACAACGCTGAGTCGGTGATACAAAAGAAGAAGACGGAAGGGAGGGAAGCTGGTGGAGATAACGACAAATCTGGGGTGGGTGAAGTAGTGGGTGTGGTTCTGAGTGGGGAAATCAGAGCACCGAGGGTCGCTAGTGCTGGCGCAGTGAAACTCCCAAGGACACAGTCGATTCTCTATTAGGCAAAGGTATCTCTATCAAAGGCTTTCCTCTATCCAAGGGGTGAAATAGTCCGGGTCGTACAACAACGACTCTGAGCTCTCGGAGTGTGTCATTATGTCATCGCAGAGCTGCGAGATGCCTGAGGGCGTGTCTGGGCCGATTGTGATCACCGCGTGCGAGCACGTGCAGGCTGCGCGAATCGAGTTGCGCTTACGCGTGTTCGCACGGGGTGGCCGTATCCAATCAAACAGTACTCCTGCAATTGATGAATCGACGCTCGGGGACACGTGTAAAGGCGCAAATCAGGTCGTGATTACACGCGTCCTCGCGCGGCGTTTGCTGGGGGTCAGACATTCGATTGTCTAATCACTCCGTAATTTTCGAGCAGGCAGTAAACAAAGGCAAAGGCAAAAAGATAAGCAACCAAACATGACATCCATTCATTCATACACCATATCCGAGATGGGAAAATCGCGGGGACAAGGGTGAGCGAAAAATCAAATCCAAATTCCGAAAGACAAAAACGGGCGAGTCACCCGGAGCCGAAATCAAAATTTATATACACGAGACAAAAGGGAGAAAAGATAAAAGAAACAGCAAATTCGCGTCCATCAACCTCAGCTCCCTCTTCCTCTCTCTCTCTCTCTCTCTCTCTCCGATGCGGACAGTCCGTCGTCGTGCACCAACCCATGAAGCCGTCACCCCGCTTAGTCCTCCCGCACCCGTCTGGTTCGCCCGCGCCCACATTCCGCTGTGGCCCGCGTCAACCCCACGCGTTTGGCACCAGCTCGTCGGTTCGCCCGACTCCTACTCTACTCACCTCTTACTTCGCTCATGTGCAAACCCTCTCTGATCGCGCAACCCCGAGTTTCCAACAGCTGGTTAAGAGAGCTAACTAATCGCGCATCCGAAATTTATAGCGTGCATGCATGCGCGAGGAACACAGAATTACAAAGACTTAGAAGGAGAGAAGGGGGAGGGATTGCCTACGCCTGCATGGCCAGAACGCGGCGCTCCACGCATCGATCCGATCATGCAGACCGTGGCTACCAAAAACACAGCAAGAGAAAGAGAAGAGGGCCGGGAAAGACGAAGCACAAGAAGAAAGATACAGTTACAATGGCGCAAGTCCAAAATTACAGTTACACACCCGATTAAAGGCGCCGACTAAACAGAATTCCGTTGCAGCCGCATAAAGAAGCGGGTAAGCAAAAGGCGTCGCGCGGCAAAAGAAAGTCCTAATTACAAAATTCCTAAATTCCTATCTAATGAGAAAAAGCAAAAAGCACAAGTTCCGGGAAGAAAGTCTGAAATTCCAAGAGCCATCGGGGCTCGACAAGATTCGAAAAAGAATTCGAAGAAAAATTTGAAAAGGAAATTTCAAAAAGAACGAAGCAAAATTCCCGCGTGATGTCCGTGCCTAAAAAGTTCCGAAACCGAAACAAAAGAAAGGACGTCAACATTTATTATTCGCACGCTCGGTGGCGCGCCAGCCATCCGCTCAACCAATCAATCGCCCATCCCGGGACTCACCCAGCTTCGCACTCAGCCATCCGAAAAGAATCGACGTAAAAGACGAAGAAGCGAGGGTACTGGTGTAATTTCCCATCCATCCCAATCTTCCGTAATTGGCCCAACCTTCCCAGCTTAGGATCCCTCATTGCAATCGCTCAGAAAGTCGCGCGCTACAGAAAGTGGTTCGTCACATATGTGACGCCCAGGGTTCCAATATTAGCAAGTTCCTGCTTGCTTGTTGACACGTGTCAATTTCTCTAATCGACCGACACGCGGAGCTTTTCTTTCTATGACACTCACCGTTTGAATGAGTGTGGACGTCGTCCATCGTGGCAGACACACCTCTACTACTAATTCCTCAGGAAGGGCCATTGACGATCCAAGGAGGGGATGACACGTGCCCGTCAGTCATACATCAGCGGGCGCCAGGGAGGAGAAAAGGGAGATAGTACATGGAGGGGTGGCGAGGTGGAGGGTTGATTGGTAGCGGGGGAAGGAAGCTTTCCATTCCGACCACCGTCACCGGGAGTTCCTGATAGCGAACGATCCGGCGAAAGCGGGGGAATCGGTTGCCAGTGTGAGGGAGGGATGCGAGGTAATCGGGGTAGAGGGTGGTAAAGGTTTGGAAAAGCGCCGCGTGGAAGTGGTCGTGGTTCTCTCATGTGGGGATAGTCCCCGTAATCATGCAGTATACCTCGATCATATTGTGGCCTCGCCACGCGGCGCTAAGGGCAGAAGGCAGGGAGGGCGCATCGGGTGGAACGGTGGGGATGAACAGTGACAGCGAGGCGGGTAATGTAGAAAAAGCGAAAGGTATCGATGGGGAAGGTAACGCGAGTGGTGATCTGGCAGGAAGAGAGGTGGTCAAGGGGACGGCGGGATAATGACCGGGGACGAAGCCCGATGCCTCGCATAGGTACATGGACGAGTTGGTGTACGGTCGGTGGCGGAGGGGGAGGGGGATTGGCGTCGTCGCCTTGCCGGTGCAGCCGAAGTCTCAGCAGCTGGGTCCCCATGCTCGAGCTTGGGTGGCTCTGGATCTCGCCCTGGATCGTCGATGGTCAGCGGACCTGCTGCGCTGGCAAACTCCAGTTGTCGCTTTCCGGCCGTGATCTCCTCCCTCTTCTGCGCTTGGGCCTATTCTCGAGCCTCCGCACGCACCTCCTCCTCAAATCCTTCCCACTCGGACTCTTCTAGCTCCTCCTGGTCTTCTTCTTCTTCCTCCTCATCATCTTGTTCTTCTTCCTTCTCCTCCTCACTTTGCTCCCCTTCGCTGTGCTCACTGTAACTCCCCTCTTCGGGAGTTTCTTCCTCGTCGGCCTCTTTTTCGGCTTCTTCTTCTTCGTCTGAGCTTTCCTCTTCCGCTTCAATCTCTACCTCCTCGTTCTCGGAAGCCGTCCGATCTTGAAAGAAGGCGAGATCGACTATTTCGTGCGGGTCCAGATAACCGTGCCATGACGGTGGGTTGCGACCGCTTCCTGGTTCCTCCAAGCACGCTGACAACTGAAGATATGGTGTCAACATGCGTGGGAGGGCGTGCGGGACTGGGCTGTTGTCGCTCTGCGAGACGATCTCAAGTGGGAGGTCGTCGGCCAGCTGCGCAAGGGGGACCGTTAGCTCTTGCACGATCAGTTGGTGATGGTCGGGCCGCACCAATCTGAAGAGGAATCCAAGCAGATCGCCTTCCACTCCCGTTCTCCACTCTTGGATGATAAGCAGCTCAAGGTACTCGGCCCACTGGCAGTGATCCTCGTGCCGCGTCCACGTGACCTTTACTCCAACCAGACACACCGACAGCTCGGCGACGTGTTCTCGCCAACGCCTCCACTGCTGGGGATCAAGGAGGGGGACAGCGAGTGACTCCAGACAAAAGGAGAGATGCGGATGGACGCCGGACTGCCAGAAGGTGGGGAAGAAAGAAGGGAGGTCGAAAGTGGAGATGGGGGATGGGTTCATTGAGGACGTTGGAAGGGGATAAGTTCAGGGAGCACCATTGCCGACTCGTGCTGGAAAGCTCGGATCCCGTCGAGGTCGACGCCGTCTGTGGGGAAAGGATTATCTCAGTGGGGCGTGAGCCAGCGATTCCACTCTGACGCCAATTGTTGCGCCCACAACCGCAACGTCGTCTTGATAGCCGTATGCCGCAACGGGCTGATGGTGCTGATGTCCCCGCTGAAGGCGACAACCGTAGACACGTGGCTGATTCCAGGAGCTGATCGCCGATGAACCGCTACCGCCTCCACCAAAACAACCGCCCGGTAACTGTCTGCAAATCGAAACTCAGTGGTTGCGTACACTCCCTGAGTACAGAAGAATTGCGCAAGTCGCCGAAGGTCCGGACTGAGCCGCGGATGATGAACTTGTCGGATCGTCGAGATGTAACACCGTGGTACCAGCAGAGGATCGCCGAGAGCTCGCTCCGTCAGAAAACTCATGGCGATGGTGACGGGGACGGAGAAGGAGAACGAGAAGGAGATGGGGAAACAGGCGATAAGCAGTCGTCGTCTTCTTCCGCAGTGGGGGAGGAATCAGATGAAGACAAAGATGGGGAAGAAGGAAGGGGACGAAGGTAGGACACGTGGCGGATGATCGGACGAGCCGATCGGCTGCCGGAGACCTCAGGCGAGAGCCGCCCGCACGGTGTTCACACCATTTGGTCCGAGCTCAATCACGTGGAATCGCCCGAAGAATCGTGGCGCTAGCTTACCCTGGCGAGCACATTTCCTCACCTGCACGATGTACCCCAATTTGTACTGGGGTCGTGGACCTGCGTTCCCGTTCCGGGCCTCGTAGCTTCGGACCTGTCGGCCGTGGGCCAACTCGGTCAGTTTCTGGCGTTTTCGGGCTAGCCTGGGGAGGGACCGTTCCATTAGCTCTAAGTGCCGCTTGGCCTTGTCTCGAACCGTGACCCTTGTGGGCCGCCGGTTGAGCGTCGATTTATCGGGGAGGCTCGGTATCGAAACGCAAGTGACGCTATTGGTTCTTAATTGGAAGGGGCTCAGGCCCGTTGATTCGTGGGGCGTTCCACGATGGACCGCCAAGATGTGGTCTACAATATCAGGCCAGGGCCTGAGGTCCTGTGCCGCGATGTTTCGTCAGAGTGCTGTCTTTATCACCGTATTCGCGTTTTCTATCAACCCATTGGATTATGACATGTGGGGTGCGGTATTTCGCACAGCGACACCATGTATGACCAGGTTCCTTAATACTTCCCCTCTGAATTCTGCCCCGTTGTTGGTCAAGAGTTCTTCCGTATCCTGGTGCATCCCAAGAAAACGGTTAACATACCGCGCGATTTCGGCAGCTTGCCGCGTGCAACATGGATAGGCCTCGATCCATTTCGAAAAATGGTCGACAAATACCAGCAGGACTGAATATTCACAACTACTAGGGCCAGGGGGTACCACGATATCGGTAGTATCCATACTCACCCTTTGAAACGGCCGCTCGACTACCGTTGGTACTATCGATCTTGGCGGCTGGGTCGGCGCCTTATCCGCAGCGCAGACTTGACAATTCGCGACGATGAACTTCACATCGTCCCGGATATTGGACCAGTACCATTCATTTTTTTCGATTGTCGACTCTGTAATCTGTACGGCGAAATGGGCTGTCGTTTCTTCGTGTGCTGTCTTCACCCAGTCATACCTCATGAACGGGTGTGGTACAACCATCCAATCCCACTGCCGTCCGTTTTCCGTTTTTCTAATCTACCCTGGACCCATCGATAATCTCGAGCCCTTTCATTAGCCCTCCTTCGATCTTCCTTGGTAAAATCCTGGAGAGGGTTACCCACTAAGGTGGCAATCAAAGCAATATCGGTCCATACCTTAGCCCTTCTAAACTTCCGGGTCTTTTCTAGCCCTTCTGACGTGGCATCCAAAAAGCGAGCCGCGGTCGGAATCTTGTCGACCCGACACAAGGGGCACAGCCACGACTTATCGTCATTTCTGTATTGGATGCACGAGCCATGGGCTCATGCGACACATTGTCGACAATCTACCCATTCCGCATACCCTTCCCTGTTAGAACGCATGGAGACCGAATATACGTGAGAAATTGCTTCGCAAAAATAACAAAATTTATCAGGCAGGGAGAGAAGAGATGAAGAGGAGAGGGGAGAAAGAGGGGTAGTGGGGTTACCTCCGTCACCCATTGCCACCGGCCTGCTTGTTACCACGTGGGAGAACTGCCACTTGGGAGAATTCCCACTTGTCCCGTTTGTCGGTTCTGACTCCTTTCACGGAGTGATTTCCTTGCCCTTAGGTACTTTAGTGGACCGATGCAGATGTGTCAGTCAGTCTGCGTTGCCGTGTCTCTCTGTCTTTCGGTGAATGATGTCGAAGTCGTACTCCTATAGTCATACCGCCCAACGTCCAATCATGCCCGTGTAATTGGTGAGCTTCTTCAAGGCCAGCAGAGGCTCATGATCCGTCACGAGGCGGAACTTCCGTCCGTAGAGATATGGATGGAAGTGCTGGATTCCCCAGACTACCGCATAGCATTCGCCTTGGGGTGTTGCGTCATTCCTTCGTTCGTCTGACACCGTTCGCGACACGTACTCGATTACGTGTTCGTGACCATCGTTCCCCTTCTGTGCCGAAATGGCAGAGATCGTTTCAGGTCGCCAGTCCGTTATAAGAATAAATTGCTTGGCAGGGTCCGGTCGGATCAAAACAGGTGCACTGACCAGGGCCTCTTTGAGTGCATCAAAGGTTTGTCCACACTCAGAGTCTCACTGCAGAGGCTGGTCCTTTCGAAGCAGGTTCGTGAGAGGTCGAGCAATCGCCACAAACCCTCTGATAAAACGGCGGTAGTACGACGCCAGGCCTAAGAAGGTTCGAACCTGCGTCAGCGACGTGGGAACTGGGGCTTCCTCCACAGCCGCCACTTTTCTGGAATCCGGTCGCAACCCTCCACGTGTCACTACGTAGCCCAAGAACGAAATTTCCGAGAGGAAAAATTCGCTCTTCTCGAGTGCAACCTTGAATCCAGCATCTCTCAATGCTCCCAATGTCCACTCGATGTGTTGCGCATGTCCGTGATAGGTCTCCGAATAGACAAGAATATCGTCCATGTATACAATTACACAGAAGTTAATCATTCCTTGCGTCAGCCGTATCTTGTTGACGACGTTTTGGAACGTCACGTTCATCGCTCGCTGAAACGTGGCAGGCGCGTTACAAATTTTCATCGAGCACCGAACCCACTGCCATGTGCCCTCAAACAATATGAAGGGCGTGTTTGGCCGATCTTCCTCTTTAACCAGAATGTGATGGAAGCCATGCCGAATATCAAACTTACTAAAATAATTAGCACATCCAATCGCCTCCAGCAAATCATCAATCCAGGGGAGGGGATACACATCTTTAATCGTGATTTCATTCAGTTTGCGACAATTAATGCATATGCGGATTGATCCGTTCTTCTTTGGTATTAACACTACTGGAAATGACCATGGTCCGGTGGCAGGTTCGATCCAACCGCTTGCTTCGAATTCCCAAATTCGTTCGTGAGCTTTTTTTCGCTCTATCAGGGAATACCGGTAAGGCTTGCAGTGGATTGGGGAATGATTTCCCGTCTGGATTTCATGTTGAATGACCAACGACAAGCCGATGGCAGTGTCCGTCATGCTAATTGCTCCCTGATACTCCGTCAGAATGTCCGCAATCAAACGATGAATCTCATCAGGTACGTACTGTGGCACGTGTAACTCGAAAAGTTGATCCCAGATCCGTACGTCGATCTGCTTCGTGCGTGCTTGTTTCGCCAGATCGGGTGGTGGCGCAAAGATAAACGAATGGTCCGATCGCCAAGAGAACACCGTGACCATCATCTGGGCGTCTTCCTCCCGGATGGCCCAGTGTCCTTCCGGGGTGATCCCATCGCAGATATCTTGCCATGGCACGGTTCTAGTTGCAATCTTTACTCTGAGCTCATCTGATTCAGCTTCGAGCCCCCAAGCGTAACAGTCGTACTTCTTTTGCGGGTGTCAAGAGGGACTTCGGGAGATCTGTGATATCGCAGTAGTGTTTTTTGTCGTTGTATCGGGCGAGGAGAGGGGAGATTCCTTCGTACAGGGTTTGAGGGGGTTCCAAAGAAACGACCATCCTTGAAATTTGTACGAGGGGTTCACCCAAAATCATCGCTTTGGTCCTTTGGATATTCCGACTGGTCAGATGCATCGTTCTTGCGATCGTTCTGGGTGGCGGGTAAGAAGTGCGTTGTCGTGCTAGCTTCAGAATTTCCGGATCATTTTCGTGCCCGATCCGCGAATTCCACATAGGGGGGCGGCCCCTCTTCCAACCCCCATGCATCGTGACCCTGCTCAAACGGCCTCCGTCGCTGAACACAACCCGGAATATTTGATGATATCGCTGGTATGGATAGTGGTGGCATTATAGTCGTTGTAATTGGCAATATGGCCGTGATGGCCTCTATCGGTGTGGTCGTTGTTACTATTGTTGATGATATTGATGTTGTTGATGATGTTGTTGATGATGTTGCTGCTGTTGATGCTGTCCATGTCATGCTATCTGGTGGACCACTCGCGTGTCCCGTCGCTAGAAGCCCAGCAAACATGTCTTTGACCTGCTGCAGCGTCCCAGCACACTCGTGGAGGGCAGTAATCGCCCGCGCTCTGTCAATCGCATCCCGCTGTCGAAGAGAGATCTGCTCATAAAGTTCCTCCTCCCACCGTCGTAGATCTCCATTCCCTCCAACAGAACGTCACATGGTAAGTCGCCATGTTCTTGACACAACACGGCATACATCTCCTTCAGCTGCCGTTTGTAGATGATCACAATAGACAACGCGGACACTTCCTCCGCAGTCTGCAGGTCAAGAGAGGTTCCCTGCAGCCCCCCATGAGGCAAAGTCTTCACGCCCTCCCCTATCATTGCTATTGATGTCGAAAGCTGCCGCCACTATACGTCAATGTGTCAACAGTTCCACGGCTGGCGTCACCCCTGTCAGCGTGTCGCGGGACACCTACGTCGCCAACAACAGGCGCCACGTGGCAGAACACCACGCGCGTTTGCCGGGCGCGCGTACAGGCCTAGCGGCCGAAGGACCCCTCCCCCGGTCACTAGTCGAACCGGCAGACCGGGCCTTGCCGGACTGGCGGCGACGGGGCGCTAGCGCTAGCACAGCTTCACCCCCTCCTTCCCCCTCTCTCTTGCTATGTTCTTCTCTCAATTTCCAACCCATGGTAATTTCTCAGTTCAGCTTCGTCAGTCAACTCTTCTACTACTACCGACAATAAAAAACTAGAACGAGAGCAACACCATAGCTCAGTACTGACGAGAGACGACGACCGTCAGACTTGTTGATGTTGATGACACCCTAATCGATGGCTCGTCTTGGCGGTGGGTCCAGCGACCAACGGGGCCGTTTGATAGCACTTTGCAGCGGCAACCGGGGTTCTCTCCCAATGTCTTTCTCTCTCTCCTTCTAAAATAAAAAAAAAGGGTCCTTTGGGCTGCATTCCCTGCAGCCCCCATCGTTCACCACTGGAATGATTTTACGATTTTGGGTGGGGAGAAGCTTTCCAGGGAAGTGTCCAGGGAAATGTCCTCCTAGCCTAGGCCTACCTTGTTATCCTAGGCTCTTTTGCTACCAACATGTAGGGACACATTTCTCTTTTTGCTGAGATCCACATATCTCTACGACGATATATCACACAATAATACAATACAGCAGCAATAAATAAACAACAAAAAAACAACAAAAAAACAACAAAAAAACAACAAAAAAACAACAATGACACCCCCAAGGCCTCCCGCTCTGCGTGAAACGAAAGGCAAAAGCCACAAGGGCTAAGACAAGAGCGGACAACGGACACGTCGGCAGAGAGTCAATGTCATCTCATCTCATCTTCTATCCCAAGTCATCTCATCTCCGCATGTCCCAGTTGTCTGGCCACGCTCCACTACTAGCCAAATGTAAGAACTGATGAGCGCATCCTTCCGCTAGAACTGCGAATATTCATCTCCACTTCCCGCATTTGGCCAGCGGTGGATCAATGCCCACCCTTGTGTTTTGAGGGCACACTGCTGCAGCGGAAGGCAATGGGCCGAAGCAAGGTGAGGAGCTCATAAATGTAACGAACTACAGAACGGGTTCTCGGGGCTGGTCGTCGTCACATGGCACCTGCAATGAAGGCGGGGCCTGTCGCGGCCTGAGTCCCCAGGCTGCCTGCGTTGGCGCGCTCTGACTGCCGAGTGCGCCTCTTTTTTTTCCCAGCAAGTACGGGCCCGACGTACGTAGGCGGGAGCATCTGGGCGCACCGCGCTCCCGTGATGGATGCTCCATTGCACCGTGGATCATCTATCATGGCTCAGGTCCTTGGTTCCTTGGTAAGACCAAACGCCGAAGGGTAGGAGGGCGGGGGAGGCGGGGAGGCGGGCGCGGGCAGGCAGAGGCTAGGAGTTTGAAGAGCGGGAACGGAACTTTTGCCCTAAGTGAAGCAGAGCGGCTAATAGGGTCGGCAGGTTGCCGAAGGCTCGTGTGGTGGTCCCATCATCTCTCAGATTTCTTGGTCCCATCCCATTACTGCTTTCCACCGTAGAAATTGACGAGCGGTGGACCACACCAAAGCCTTTCCCGGCGCAGTGTGCGATGAAGCCGCGTGGAGGGGCAAAGGCGGGGTTAGGTGCGAATCCGACAAGCGGAAGGGTGGGATGAAGCCGCGTGGAAAGGGCGGGATTGGGTGCCAACGCACAATCTCAAGGCGCAAGAGCGATCAAAAGCAGGACCACGACAAGACTGGAATGCAAGAAGCGACGGCCGAATGCGAGCGATCTCCACACGTTGGTGGGCGGACGACGACCCATCGTCGGCGACATCAGCCGCTCATGGGAGCGGTCGGTAACGGTCGTCGTGTCGACGTGGGATGACCCACGGAGGAAAAGTGCCTGCCTTGATGGGCCGGTTTTGTATCTTCCAACTCCTATGCTGTACGAGAGATCCGACCCTGATTTTCCTCTCCCTCCTGCCGGCTGAGCCTTAGGTGGCAGAGAACCC